ATTAAAATCTCGTCTATGAGACAATTTATAAAATTCCAAGAGTTGGCTAAATATATTCTGAAGGGAAATTGAAGATTTAAAAAAACAATAAAAAGTTGAATATTCCACAAATTTTTCTAAATTAGTATAATTTAAACCTTAATGTTAAATCAATTGAGTAAACAATAAAAAGTTTTGTGCAAAATTATGGAACTGATGAGATAAATGTCTTAAAGAAGGATATTTCATCTTTGTGATACATTAATAATGCAAGTATATAAGTAAAATGAATGGATTCGCTAATGGATTTTTTTATACACACAAAAATCGAATTACATGCCAGATATTACTGTCTCAGAGATGAAATTATATGACACTGAATCGTCATATGATTTTGTGAATTCAATATATCCATTATTCATAGAATCTTTCCTTCATATGGTAAAAAAAAAGTACTGAAAAAAATCTAATTTTTAATCTACCCTCATATGAATTATTTTACAGTAACAACTATTACCAATAGCCAAACAAACAAATAAGTTTAATTAGGCCTACTTACTTAGACATAGTCATTTTAATCAGTTCATTACTATTTCTTTACCTGATATAATTAAAAGATAAAACGATCGCAGCAGATGTATGCATAAAAACAGTCACAAGAAGAGAGTTTTCAGGAATTGATTTAGCAAATTTAGTGAATGAATTTGTTGATAAAGGAACAAGAAAGTAATTACTATATGTAGTGTGATAAAATGATAATAGATATAGAGAGATCGTCCCTGGCAGTTATCAGTAGAAGAGAGAAAGCTCCATAAAGTTGATCATGCAATAACATCACTTCTTTACAAAGTAACTATTCCTATCCTTATCCCAAGAATAGATAAGTTTTGTTTAATTTTAATATGAGATTATCAGAAACAGAGTGTTTGATATGAGAGAAAAGATGAGAGTAGGCTAGAAGAGGATTATTAATTGTGATAAAGCGATAAGCGATGTATATTACAAGCAGATATAAAATGTATATCATAAACTGTGTTTACACTCTAATATTATTTTTGAAAACATGTTAAAGTTTATAAACGCAATATAGAAAATTATGCAATTCTATTCGTATGTTATGAACAGACAAAAGATATCTTTATCCAAATGTCACAAAGAAAAACTTATCACTAGAATCCACTTGTATCAGCTCTTAAGAACATAAGCAATTAAACTTAGCAAAGCTTGTTGCACTCATTCACCTGAAATGTCATTCATTTTCGAAGTACTCTCAGATTTTCACCTGATCTTATCTACTTCATCTATAATAATATATATTACGTTATGCTTCTGTAACATCATAATTTGCAAGCAACATCGTAATTTGCAAGCTTGCAAAGCATGCCAACATACTTCCTAAATCATCACACATCATTGATCTGCTTTCGTTAAAATTATCACATTAACCGTAGTAAACGGTATACCTGAGATCTTAGCATGTATTTTTAGCTAATAAAGTTTTGCTAGTGTAGGCTAATGATCTAAAATGTATGCGTAAACTTGCTGAATACTATCATGTTACTAAAGATATAATTACATACGATTAAGCGATAGTGTATTATAGTTATGTAAGATGCTTTTTTGTAAATTAGATATTACTTGATTTAACTACGATAAAAGTTAAGTCAAATCTTAAAAAAAAGAAAAAACGCAAAGGTTGATTATACTTGTAATATTGATAAATGCTTCGTTGATTTCGTATTTCTCGATAATGAAAAAAGAAAATTTCCAACCAAATTGTAATCAAAGAAATAAATATAGGAATTAGTAATGCAGAAAAAAATCATTTTTTTTTTTGCTGCCTCTGTTGGGAAACTGTTTTTCTGTTGAACTCGTTTCTCAGCGATATAGATTTATTCGGGATGTAATATTGTTCTTGCACAATATTATTAGTTAATAACAAAAAAGAGTGTAAAATATATATGTATATTACACAATGAATTGATAAGCAATGATAAATGATAACAACCTTGTCGTTGTCTTAGACAATAATTTGACTGTCAATTAGTTGATAGGTCGTTGAGTTGAGAATATGTTACGGGAAATGTATTTAGTGAATAGAAGAATATTGTAGTTTGTTGTCCAATGGTGGGGGATATGCGAAGATATCGTTGGTTGTGGGTTAGCCGCGAAGGATAAGCGATGAGGATGTATCGTATGCTCGGTTGTTAAAACTGTCGGGATTGTTTCATATATATAAGGATTAGGGGGAAGTTTAGTAAGTAACTTCCTTCCTGGCTATCATGGAGGTATGCTAGCCTTTGGCATTGTCTATAGTGTAGGTACAATGGATATCATTGTCTGTGGTGTAGATACTGAGACGTCTTTTGTGTTATGCTATCCATTGTTAGCTTATATCCTCTTCATTGCTTTAATTTTACTTACAAGATTTCGTTGCTCCGTCTGTTTGGATATTGTGAAAATTTTATTTAAGCATAACTTTAGTTTCGGTAATCCAACAGAAATTTTGTATTATGATTTTCGGAGTTTTTTCGACAGTAGTTGCTTTTGTTTAATGAGCACTGATACTGCTGCATTGTCGAAGAGAAAACTATCAATGTGAGATTGACATGAAGAATGTTGAATGAATGGCAATGAGGTTAAATTTGCATAATGGAAGATAAGGGTAACTGATGTGTGTCCTACATGTCATTTTGTCACCTACATATCACTTTAT